ATGACTAGCGATGGCAAAGGCACATTGACATGGTGATCATGGTGACAGCCCCGATCACGGCACCAAGCCATGAGGCGTGAAAATCCTCACGGGGAGCCTGCAGCGCCGCCGGGCTTCGGGACCGCAGGGTCGCATGAGGCTGAGCCCTGTTGGACGGGTCCTCTGGTGTGCCAGAAGACGCATGAAAACAATGGGGGAAATTTGAAGGTTACAAACAAATGGCAGCGCACTTCGGCAGCACAGTGGATGCAGAAAAAGGCTTATTCCTGCCTGTGGCACGAGCTCGCTAATGGACGACACCGTTGCCGCCGCAACTGCTTGGAGTAACAGCTTGCCATGATGGGCCGCCTCAGTCCAGGAAATGCCCAAACAGCTCTTGTTCTTCGCATCCCCTTTCGAGACACGGCGCAGTAAGTGCCTGGCCCTGGCATGTGCTCACCCTATGTTCGAAGTGTCTTGATGGGATGGTCCGGCAGTGCTGAGAATGCCTTCCAGGCCGATGTGACTCGACACTGCACATCGTGGCACTCTTCGCGAAGCCCTGCGAGGATGTTGCAAAGCAACAACTACAGATCATCCAAGTGATCTCATTAGGCGCCTGTCTATATATGTATTTGTTGTAATGTAGATACCTGCTGGATTAGATGGCAGAACATGCAAACTCCGGAATCAGGTGCATGCCGCTGCCTCTTTGGGCTATGGCGGCCAATGGTGCACTGCCGAAGGCAGTCAGAGCAGCCGGCGGCCGTGCCGCATTGGACAGTCCCTGTGGGCCTGAAGGACCAAAAAACTCAGGAAGCGAGTTTGGGGCTTTTAGGGTTTAGGGCAAAGTTTGGGGTCTTCGGGTTTTAGGGTACCTCTTGGTGGTTGCCGCAGCTCCTTCCTTCACACCTGAGTAGCGCACTGGACCCATCTATCAGCAGCAGCGAGCGGTCGCTCAGGTGCCGAAGCACCAGGGCATCCACTGTCCCAATGGCGCCTCTTGCAGACGAGAAAAGGGGGGCAGGAGATGAAGTCCCCAGCAATTGCAACCCTTGAACTTCCCACTTCACTCTCCAGCCATGCCATGCCATTCCCACAGTTAGAGGGGACTTTCCTTGGAGTAGCTGCGAAAGCGCTTCAATTGGTTCGTTCCCATTTGAACCCTCCGAGCAGCGCCTGGGCCTCACACCGAGTTCGCCAGGCCACGCGCGTCAGGTTGGTCGATGAAGCTCAAGAGACCCGAGGAGCGCACCTACCACATGGGAATTTAGGGTTTAGGGTTTAGGGTTTAGGAACCACCGTTGAAGGGAGATTGCTTGCGATGTTCAACGTCGGCTTCGGTTTTCCGTGGTTGGAAACCCCCTCCCTCCGTGAAGCCTCGTCACTCGCGCCCGCCGCATCTGGGCACTTGGCTAAGCGGCACAATGCGGTGGCAGCCGTCACCTGTCTGCACTGGCATTTGCTGGTTCAGGCAGCTTCCAGTCTTCCAGTGTTCAGGGCACAAAGCTGAGCCCTGGAGGTTGCAGCTGAATCAGCCTAGAAAAAGGTGTTCTGCCGAAGTCCTGTTGGTACAAGTGTTCTTAGATCTTGAGCCCCCCTTGTTGCCCTTCCGAGTCGCCGCGTCCAGGCGCTTCCCTGCGGCGGCACGGAGCACAGCCCGTGCGGAACGCTGGGCAAGGAGCTCCTGTCAAGGAGAGGTGGACAGAGAAACGTTTGACCGGTTTATGGACAGGTTGCCAGGTGCCTAGCTGTGCTCATGACTATTTGGGAGCTCTGAACATTCCAAACTCGTCACTTACATGAACATGTCTGACGCCAGACCTCAGGTGTCGTTTGGCTGGGCCGGCGTGTGAAGGTGCTGCGTGTGTCTGGTGTGAACGGTCTTTTCGCAGCGGACTGAAATTCTGGGCCTTTGAGCGCAGTGTTTGTTACGAAGGGGAAATCTGAAAAACGAGTGCCATCCACTGCTGAAAGGAGGTCTGCTGAAGGAACAAGCCTGATCAGAAGTCCAGCTTGAACAACTCACCTGGGTGTGATAGCCTTACCAAAGCAAGCTGCGGACAGGCTGTACGTACTCGCAGCTGGCATCTTCAGCAGAAAGATGCTGCTGCCCTCCTAAAACCCTGAACCCGAAAGCACAAACGGCCCTAAACCCTAAACCCGAAACCCCCGAACCCTAAACCCCGAGAGGGCCTCACCCAGGTCACGCTGCCAGCGGGAGAAGCCCTTGGCAGCCCTGAGGGTCGTCCTCGAACTGGGGGCGGTCACGAATCCTGCAAAGGTCAAGCTTGAGGGTTTAGGGCGGTTTAGGGTTAGGATGTGGGCGCTCCCGGAAACCTTGACCACACCCCCCGGCCCCTCAGCCCCAACTGTGAACTGGTGAGGGAGCTGCTCAACAGGCCTGCTGAATGGCCTGACGGTGTTGTGTGTGTGTGTGTGTGTGCGTGAGTGAGTGATATTTGCTCGTCGCTCTTATGAATACATCAGGACTCCAAAACCACAAGGAACCATTGATGCAGACCAACCTGACTCGTACATTACTGATACATACTTCAGGATACCAAAACCCCGAGAGAAACCAAACCAGACCAATGGATGTAGACTCCAACCTCCCATCGGAAAATCTCAACCACAAAGTTGGGGCTCCTGTGTCGTCATCCGAGGACTCTGGGGTTTCCTTCAGGCTTGAGGGGTCACGGGCTTTGTTTGGGTTTGGGGGTTGGGGGTTGGGGTTTAGGGGCTTGTTTAAAGGGTTCGGTTGCGCACACCTCCTTGGCCGCTTTGATGAGACAAGGATACATAGTCACTACAAATGTCGGAGTGTGCAGGAGCTGCCCGACAAGCAGTGGTTCCGGAGTCCTGGCGGTACGTATATATGCGTTGCATAAAGAAGACGGCCCAACATTATAATTACATGGCACTATGTGACGAGAGACGGCTGGATCGGACTGCGCAGCCGGGCTGAGGCAAAGCTCGAACATCTTCCACACACACCCAGCACAAGACTCCTGCCCAAGCAAAGCAGGGCTTGCTATGGAAGCCCCTCCATCTTACCCTACTAGTTCTTACACCAACCACCAGCGTCACGAATTCTGCGGGCGTGCTTGCGAAGGCCTCTTCTAGCCGAGGGGATCCCTCCTCTGCCGTGGCGCCTCCGGTGCTTGCTGTAGGGTTTTCGGGTTTAGAGTTGAGGGATTAGCACATCTGGAGCAAAGAGCTCAGGGATTTCGTCAAAGCAATAGAGTTCCTTACGATATGGACTGCCAAAACTCTAGAACCCTAAACAATCAGAACCTTGTCAAACGGGGATACCCTATGACACCCTTCGATCTTGGAAAACCCCCCCCCCATTCCCGGCCTTTGCAAGGGGCCCTCCCTGCACCACCAGGTGGTGGATGGCAAGTACCAGCTACGCACAGCAAGCCGACATGAACAAGATGGCCCCAGGGCTTACTGCTCAGGGTTTAGAGCTTAGGCCTTTTTTTGGCACCCGCATAGCTGGACCACTCTGCAGGTCCCTGACTATGGCTCTCTTTCAACGACTCATGGCCACTTAGACTTTCAGGGTTTATGGTTTTAAGGTATTCTAGGGCTTGTTGGGTTTCTGGGGATTGAAAGGCTTCGTCAGGTTTTTTGGGCATGCAGCCAGCGTCAAGGTCCCTCAAGTACACGTGACGGCCCTGGAAGTCACAGCTTTGCAGCAGTGAATCCGAGTATATATTTACCTGCCTGTAGAGAGTTACTCCTCCAAAGGTAATTTGCTGTGTGTTCCAAGCAGAAGCATGCATCCCGCAGTTTACAGAGGCGCTCCTGCAGATTTTCGACGCCCCAGATACGGTGGGAGGCGACAGGAAGTAATCCTGCTCTACAGGAGAGTCTATCCTGAAGCAGCAGCTAAAACCGGCCTAAGCTTGCCGGCGAAACCATGCAACGTGTGGAAGAGCAACACGGCCAAAGGCACGCGAGAACGACCGCGATGATGGACAGCTTGTCGTCCCAACTCAATGAACGAGCACGCGCAGCATTCTCCGGGAGTACAACCGCATGCCATGCGTGCTCGTTTTCGGAGGTGGGCTGTTCATGTGATCCCACAATGCACCTTCCGCAGCTGATATTCAAAGGCTTGCTGCAGGCTGTGCACATGTTCAGTTCACAGATCTTTACAACGCGAAGGGCTACTCCCTCGATGGCTCACTGAGAAGTCTCGGTGTGGATTCGCAGCATTAGCAGCCACCTGCTGATTGATGCAGAAGACTTTTGGGACACGTGTCCTCCAACTACATGGCACTGCAAAGATAGCTGCCATCCCAAGAACAACAACAACCACAACCACGAACATGGCAGCGTAGAAACGCTCACCAGTATGCTTTTCCTAGCAGTCACACTGCCGGCACATGGTTATTTCGATCTGCTACATTTCCTTTTCTATTCCTGCCAGGACTAACCAACCATAATTACTTTGCACGTAACCCATGCCGAGGGCACGAGGCGGGTCGCTGGCCGCCGATCGACCTCCATCTTCGTTCGCGGGCTTGGCCCCCCCCCGGGACCCAGGGAAATCGAGTAACGTTGGGGAATTGCCTTCCTGCCCCTTGTAGCATGAACTTTCCATTGAACCTTGCAGCTGGGGTTTGATGTGGTGTATGGTCCCTTTGAGGTACCCTCAACTGAGTAAGGAAAATCCATCAAAGACCTGAAACGCCTAAGACTTTAAACGGGCCTTAACCCTAAACTTCGAAGCCCTGTCCCTGCCAGGTCCGCCTCCCGAAGAGATGGAGCCCCAGGACGTGGAGGCCGGCCGCGGAGGGCGCTGGGGGTTGCTGAAGCCCCGCAGAAGAAGCCAGGCTTCCACCTACCAAGTCGGGGCCCCGAAGCCCCGAAGAGTGAGAAGAAGCCCCAAGTCACTGCAAAGAGGGGCTAGCAGGGCTCCCCCCACTTGACAGAAGACATAGAGGCCCCAGCGAACAGTCAATTGGTTACTTTTGCTACACGAAACAAGTTCAGGCACGACAAGGTCATCAACTAAGATACCTGACATGAAACCTCCGAGGGCCTAAGAACAATTGCAGCCCACATTCGAGGCCAAACTTTTGGGGACTCAAAGCCTGGTGAGGGGCTGCGGCGAACTCGGGCAGCTGGATCCTCGGTACTAGAATGAGTCCGAAGCTGACTCAGGCAAAAAGACGCCCCAACCCACCTCCAGAGGGCTAAACCCTAAACCCTAAACCCTCCTAAACCCTAAACCCAAAACAACCTTAAACCCTACAGGCCCTACAGTGGCCACAGGCCAGGGCAGCTGATTCGTCGCCGGGCTGCGGCTCGAGCAATGGGTGGTGACGAATCTGCTCATGCCTGCCAGCGCCACCCCTTTCTTGTTGGTGGGGACAAAGGTATGTTTAGGTTTAGGAGTTAGGGTTTAGGATTGGATGGTATGGTTGGGTGTGCCATGACAGTGGTGCCTCATGCGCGCTGTGGGAGGCTTGATGAGCAAGTCCACGAACTGTCGTGCCTCCCACTCTCAGACTGCAACGATTTCAATGGCTGTCGTTACTTGCGGAAGAATCTCTCTGATGTGCGCTCTTTTGTTGCGTCAGCGTTTATCCGGAGGCAAGCAAGGTCAAGCCACACATGTCTGCAGCAGTGAACAGATTCCTATGCATGCGCGCGCAGGCACGGCAGCGAATGACATGTGGCCCCAAGAGCTCCAAGGACAAATTCGAAGTTGCGGAGGCCACCAACCAAAAAAGAACATTCAAATTCGTGCCTCACTGGCCTGGCTTTGCCCTGCCAGCTCCATTCCTGGCGTTCAGCCCTTCAAAGTTTAGACTAGTAGAGGAAACAGTAGTAACTTGGGGAACTACGAAGCAGGGTTTCAGAGGTTAGTGGCTTGGAGACGCGCAATCAAATAAGATTCTACAAGTCTTGAATGCAAAAGTGCCTTGGAAGATAGGAAAGTTGTCGCGAATGCACTTGTCCAGCAACGTCCAGTCATAGAGGTGTGCCTCGCGCTGAGGTTAGTGTCACCAAAATCCCAAACTACGAAGCCCTACGGTTCCTCTCCGGCGCCCGTGGCTTGCCTACGTTCTGCAGACTTCCCCATGGCAGCCAAGGGAGCCTGCCACTCACTTCGGACGGCCATGGGCGGCACCTGGTCTGCTTGCGGGGCCGGGGTGTAGGGTTCACTTTAGCTTATGAATACCGTAGTATTCTTTGTATTATCAGGATTTCAATGTGATACAATTATGTATAATGAATGGGCTAACCCAACACCCATATCTATTTTCCGCCAGTATCATGTACATCTTTCCGTATCTGCGCCTCGTTGGGCATCCCTCCAGTGAAGAGAAGCCAGGCCAGCACCTTTCGGGATTGAGGCGATTTTTCATGGGCCAGGTTGGGACAGGCAGGAATTGTAGTTTAGGGCTGAATAGGTTTATGGCTCAAGGGTGTAGGGTTAAGCAGGCTTTGTGGCCTTTATGGTTTTTCAAGGTTTGTGATCGGATAAGCGGTTGGTGTTGTGGGGGTTTCGGAGGTTAGAGAGGGTTTCGAACCCGAGGCAGCTGTGTGAGCCAAGATGCTCCCAACGAGTAGAGGTCTGCGCCTTCATCGTGGGGCATCCCGCCTGGGTCCCCAACAGGAGGTTTAGGGTTTCGGGTTTAGGGCTTAGGTTTTTGAAGTTCAGGGGCTCAGGGCCGGTAAGAAGGTGCTTGAAAGATGTTACGACTCACTTCTCTGGCTCTTTGTGATATCCGAAAGCTCAGCTCAGGTTCGCGCCGAGCACTTCGGGCGCGACGTAGCCCGGGCTGCCTTGAGGCAACTTCCGTGTCCTCCTATCACTTGAAAACCCCAAAACATCCCAAAGTCCCCAAACATGACACCCGAGGGTCCTATAGTCCTACGAGCCATTTCTCTCCGTAGGCCCTCGGCCTGCCGGATGGCCAAAGGAAAAGGTGCCGGAAGAAGGGCCGAGTCGGCCAGCACCGAAATCCGCCAGTTTGCAGCAAAGCTGGCCATCCAGGACCACATTCTCCTTGAGCAGAAAAGCTTCTGTGTAAATCATGATATGTATGTCTACATATATATGCTGTATGCATGAAGAGTATGTAAACATATGATGCATATAGCAGAAGGCAGTCAACTCTAAATCCCTAAGCCAGCTGGGAAAGATTGCTGTGCAACCACGCATCGGGCTTCAAATCCCGGAACATGGTGTTGAGCCTGGGCAGAGGTTGAGGGTTTAGGGTTTTTATGATCCAGCAGTGTAACACCAATTCTGTATCGGAGTTGGCGCGCCTGTGATGCATGTGCTCCAGGCCAAGGAAGATCTGGCCCACCCAGTCAAGGGTCTGCGGTGGGGGCCTGACTCCGTAGGTAGGGACAGGGTCACGCCAACAGGAAACACTTGTCCTGGCCTGAAAACTCTCTGGCCAATCTTGGCGTGCCGAAGCTGCTGGAGAAGATTGGATTGGCAGAACTCCATGACAAGGGTGTACAGTCCTCCCGAATAACGGGCAGATTTTGAATTTGGTTATTCCCAGACCCGATAGGGTGTCTTCGACTCAAGCGCCTGTCCTGCATCATCCAGGTTGACCATGTGCAGCCGCACGATGCAAGGGTGTGGTGTTTGACGGACATGTGTTCCCACCTGGCTGCAGTTGGGTACGCGTACGTGCATGCACGGTTCGCTGCTGTAAGCATGTACCCGCAATGGATCACATGAATGTCCTGCATGGGTTCCGAAATCACGAAACCACAGGAGCTTCAAGGCACACTCTCTGCCTGTTTTCTGCACAGCTACATGGAATTCATGGTTGGGGTGGAAACGTCCGCCGCCTCGCATTCTCTCACCACCTCCGGGGCAACGGGCCGCTGCTGCGTCTTGAAAACCTGAGATTGTTCATCAATCTTCCGGCTTGTTGCGCCTGCGTTTCTACGGCGTCCGTGCAGTAAACACCGCTTTCCGACCACCAGGATGTGTCGAGACACCTTCACGGCATACCATGCACCGCTCTGGCGATGCTTCGCCCGGAAGACCTTGCAGAAGACCAGCTTCAAGGCTGCTTAAGAAAAGAACCTACTACGATCCTGATGAGACGAGAAGACATCCGAGGGGCGTGCAAGATGGTCCCCACAAACCCAAGATTCCTGCATGCTAAACCCTAAACCCAAGAACGCTCGCGCCTCTCCGAAGCGGCCCTCGCCGATCAACGCCGGGGCGTTCTGCCAAGGGCTCAACTCTCGGCCGAAGTAGCTCACCTCCACCACACTTAGGGCGGGCAACATCGGATTTTTTGCCACCCATCTAGCCAAGCTCCACGTGGCAACTGCAGAGAGAAAGTTTAGGGTTTAAGATAAGAGAGCTTGGGACCATACTCTTTTTGGGAGCATCCCCCAATGTGGTTTTTTTTTTTTTTTGGGGGGGGGGGGGGGAGTTGGGGTTTATTTAGGAGGCCCCCATTCTAGGAAGCAGTTGCACGCTGCTTTCTGAACAAGCCATCGCTGCAACGACCTGAAGGAAATTCACCCTTCCTAGAGGCCGCATCAGAAAGGTTTCACAGCAGGGACACCCGCAGCTCCGCTGTTCTGAAGGTGTTGTTATCATTGTTATCGAGCCCCAGAGCCTAAGATTCTTAGCTAACCTGCGAAAAAACGTGAGATCTTGAGGTTCTTAAACTAAAGCGCTCCAGCTTGAGATACATGGAACTCGCTCTGTCTGCAGCAGCCACCTCACGGCCGAAGGGATCAATCTGGACCAGGTCCTCGAGGCACGAAGCGGGTAGACTCCACACCCTTCATGTCAGCTACTTTAACATGCGATAGTAACAGGAATATTGAATGTTAGTTGTTAGGGCTGGGGGGATTTCACCTTATTTTGGAGGAAGAGCGGAAACTCTTCTGCCAATGGTGCCCTGCAATCCACTATCCCCCGAGCCTGTCATGCAACACTTTGACGAACCGCTTCCTCGGATTTAGGGACTTAGGCTTTGCAGGGTCCTCCATCTTCAGCCGCTCCTCCTCAGGCTGGCACTGGGTTGCTCTGACCTGCCAGAGCCACGGGGGTGTCCCTTTGCAATCGCAGTGGGCCCTCTCTGTTTGGCTGCGGCTAAGAGAGCGCCTCTTCCGCTTTGGTGAGGCATAGCCGTCCCAGGGCACCCCCGCAACTCGCGGCAACATAGGAGCCTGGGAATCGACTTCGTATAGTACAGCCTGTCGTGGACCCTGTGAATCACCACAAAAATCAAAGGGAACCGCCTTCCTCACAAGCTGTACTTGCTGGCTAGGCACACAGACCCGGTGCCACCAACGACTCCTTGTTCCTGGATGGGATGTTGAGCTCTGTTACATGGTCCACACATGTCTTTACATCTTTGTCTCTTGGCGAAAGCCATAGCCACAAGCCACAGCGGAGAAGGAATGTGTTTAGCTATGAGTTGCTTTAGAGCTCTTGGGGAGAGCCATGCTATGTCAGCTATGTGTCGTTGCATTGTTGCATGCTGTGCCCAGAGAGCCAGCCCACATGAAAGCATGGCCTGGAGATGTGAAGCGGCACCGAACACCAGTCTTCCTGACCCTCAGCTCACGGTGTGTCTTCGAAGGGAGACCTAAACCCAATGAGCGCTTCCCAGGGCCCCCTCAGTTCATGATCATGAGGGCAGCGGAAGGTTTGGAGCCACGGAGTCAGTCAACTCCCGGTCAAGCCCCAAAGTCCCCAGTTCAAAGCGCATCAGAGCAACGTTGAATCGACGCGGAGGATTCCGCCAGGTGGGTAGGTTCAGCTCCTCCGCTGCTGCCAGCGCTCGCGCCTGCCAGGATCATCACACTCCCTGCTGGAACTTCAGTCCTTTCCGGAGATGCTTTTCCGAAACCCCTGAACCCGCAAATCCATACACCCATAAAGCCTGAATCATCCCGAGTCCACCCATAAACCCTAAACCCCTCCTTCAACGGCACCAACTCACAGCCGCCTGGAACTGCTGGGGGTCCCATGAGCCCCAGCTCTGCGACAACGACATGCGTAGACCTTCGGAACGCGCTAAGTCGCAGGGCCTCAGCGGACTTTCAGAGTCTTCGATGGCCTTATGGGGTGGGGCTTGAAGGTCTTACAGGGGCGTTGAGGTGTTTGGTCGGGTTTAGGGCTTGGGGGGGTCTTGTGGGCTTTTGGGTTCTCGGGTGGCCGCTCTCCCATCCCTAAAGACCCAAAAGCCTAATCAATTTGACCATGGGTCCGTCTCCTCCGATTGTCCAACGTTGCGGTCCACCGCGGGCACGCCAGGGCCAACAGTCGTGCTGCCTGAAAATTCTGAGTGGAAGACTCATGCGGGCCTGAGGGCCTTTTGGTGGTTTTTAAGGGAATAGCAGTCTTCGACTGACTTCTGAGTTCGGTTTTCTGCAACATCCCCAGCAACATAATCAACAACGCCATCATCACCATCACCATCACCATCACCACCATCATCACCATCAATCATCATCAACATCAACGGAGTTCCGAGTTCCGGAGTGCCGGTTGATAGGGAAGGCACGGGAAGGTTGCATGATTTTGCCAGCTGCTTTGGTATGCTTTGGCATCAAAGACTTGACACATTTGATGCAAAGAGCAAAGAATACATCATGAACTGCAGTTGCTCCGCGAAATGGCTGGTGCTTCTGATGTTTGGATGGCGAGAACTGCAACAAATGGATCGCAATATAGGCAGGAAATCCCGGCTTAAGCAACCATGGCATAGGTCGTGGAGTTCTCCATCACTCCTAACTTGTAAAATCCTGAAAAGAGGCCCACCTCCAGGTTTCCATAGCGTGCGGCCACATGCAGTGGCGTCTCCCCATAGAGGTCCACATAGTCAACACCCTCCTGGGACAGGCTGATGGGGCTCTCAGACTTCCCACGTCAAGTAGGCCTTTGAGGGGGCAGGGTGTTGGGGCCAACAAAGCCCCAACAAAGCCCCAGGGGTACTTCAGCGCGCCTCCTCCAAGGCCCCACCTTCCAGCAATGCGCGAACGACGCGATCCTGGCTGGGGTTGAGCTTAACGCGGGCTTCTCATCATTCATCCGCTTCCTCGAAGCCTACGTGCAGAAATATGTAGAAACACGCAGACATCAAAATCACGCCGCTTCACCCTAGAGAACTCACCGACAAGTAAAACATCCTCCGGGTCGAACTCAATGGCCCTTTTTGGCTCTTCTTGGTCCCCCAAAACACAAGATGCTTGCAGGAGGCGTAACTGTTGAAGATTCAGCCATCGCACGTGCACCCAGCCGATAGATGTCATGAGTGAGCAACCGAGTCTGAAGCGTTCCTAGCCACTATACCAACCCCGGACCTGAGTCGAAGCGTGTCGAAATTTCTTCAAGTGCTTAAGAAAACGTCCTGGCACTGTTCTTGCAAACCCTTCATAGACACTCAACATCACTCAACTATAGCATTTACATCCTGAACCCCAAGCCCTCTCCGGCCTCCCCCTGCCATGCGGCAACGTGCAGCGCCGTCCACCCGCGCTGCGCAGGTCGCGAGAAGAAGTTCCGTGGCGATGAGCGCTTGCCCGAGTGCCTGTAGTTTAGGTCTCTGCGGTTAGGGTTGATACAATGTGAGATGCAGCATATGGCTTCTTCGCGAGTACAAAGAGCACCAATCTCACCAACACCAGCAACCGCTATGAGGAAGGCTTTGAGGTTCACGAGACAGAAGAGCTAAACCATCTAGCAAGTCCGAACTCCTGAACCCGTCCCTGAGACCCTGCAACCCTTGTATGTGAGGGGGGGGGGGAAGCAAGAGGGGGTCTGAGTTCTACGTCTTCTGCGCACCTGGTGCTCACCAAAGCGCCGGCTTGGAGCAAGCATTCGCAAACCTCCGGTGATCTTTGGAGAATGAGTCAGCACTTAAACTGAGGCCCTGCAGAGCAAAGCATTTGAGAAAGTCGAAAAATCTCAAGAAACCGCTGTACTGGTCTCCGTATGCTTACCCATCGTGTTTCAGCCCCCACGCTGCTTAAGCCCACCTCTGCATGCCCTTGGCGCGTAGCCAGCATGAGAGGCGTGTTGCCATCCACATCCGGCCTTCTGGACATTAACTTGTGGGGGATAATGCGGAGAACCGGCTTTCAACTTCCTCCCGCACACTTCTGGAACTGCACATGTGGAAGCCCAACTCATGGCACAACTTACATGACGGAGACTGCAAGTGGGGAGACTGTTCCGTTCGGCTTATCAGTTGGGTCAAACCACAACGAAAGACCTCTGCTGCACCACCCGTCCTCATGCTCCAAGCACCCCCTCAGACATGTAATAACACGAAATGTTGTCTTGAATCATTCCCTTGCAATAAGTGTATATATCGCCTTAGACACATAATGGCAACACGTGTTGTCTTGAATTGGCTTTTTAAAATGAAGCAAAAGAACAACCATGCAACACCCCCTGGGGGCGAACCCGAAAGCCCGTGTAGCCGCAGCCGAGCCTGTTCAGATCGATGTCGGCCGAAGCACTTCCTGGGTTGTCAGACCCAACTAATACATCCATACAAAGCCCTACAAAGCCCCTCAACCCTTCAAACCCTTAAGCCCTAAAAAACAGGCCCAAGAAAGTGCCCCCCTCTAAGTTGTGGAAAAGCCTCCCAATTTCAGTTCAGTAAGCTCTGAATTCCCTTGCCACGTCTCGGGTGAGCTCCTTGATTTCTGCCACCAACTTCTCCATCACGTCCTGTGCGGGGCGGGCCCGGGCTGCTACACATTGCATCTTCTCTTCATCTACCATGACGGCGATAATGATGACCATGAATTATCATGAGATCCGGACTGCGATTCTTCTTATGATGAAAGGGTTTGGAGGTCTCAGGTCCTTCACCTCTTGCGTGTTGCCGTTCTCCGCAGCAGTGTAGATGTCTATGAGGTTAATCCTTGGCGATGGTCGGAGTAGGCCGAAGTGCCGGACAAAACTCGGGAGCTCAAAACCCACAGCGCTTTGGAGCCAAGAGTCTTTCGGACGATAGTGCATTGCAGCCACAACCACAAGCAGAAGTAGCCGCACAGGCAAAGAGCCATGCCTGAATGAAGTTCAAGCTTGCAGCTTTGTACTATCACGAAAACTCTGAAAGGACTATATGGTATATATATATATATAGACCCACGGATACAATATTCAATCTTCGTAGCAGTAGAAACACTGCTCCGACTGCCATTTCGCACCAGGCCGCCCGCAAACCTTGGAGTCAGCAGGCACCACGGGCACAGCAATCTGTAGTCTACCGTGTAACGTTTCCCCAAAGTGCCGTAACCGGGAGTATCTCAAATCATCATCCTGTCATATACGAGTACTGCACCGTGCTGCAGAGATCGGGCTCACTTGACAGTCAAGGCACTCGGAGATGTGCATGTAGACGTTCTTCTTCAAGTCAATCCAGGCCTGGTCCCCGGCACAACCGGCCGCCGAAACGACAAGCAGTGGCAGGATGATCACTTCCAGGAGGAACTTGAGGTCCAGCCACCTCATCTTGAGCTCTCACATGCTCTCGTGACTCTCTGTGACCCTGGTGCGGTGTCTTCGCCCCCCTCCCACCTGGAGATCTTCCGTGCTGCACGCCGCTTGTATGGCGAGTCCACGAAAAAGAACAAGTTGACCTCAGGTGTCAAGGGGGCCCAGATGTGGAGTCGACAACATTGAGGGCATCTGTCGCAGCGCTTCTACTTCCGGCTAGCAGCCCACGCGCAAGGCACAGAGCACAGCAATCGCACGGAGGATCGGCACTCGTCGCCCCCGTGGTAGATCACCTGAAACGTGGCAGCTGGGAACCCATTGAATCCATGAGCCTCTGGTGCAATTGCAGAAGAGTCGCGAGCAGGTAGGTGAAGATGATGTTCGATGCAGCTGGACACCACCACCAAGAAACCAAATGTCGTGTGGTCACGACGAAAGCCACCATCATCACCTTGTGCCGAGTTTTATCTGGCTTGGGTTGCTCGTTGCAGCTGGCGGCTGAGCAAGGGGCCGTGCGAGTCACCACCTCACCTCAGCTACAGTACCATAGCAGCAACAAGAAGGGGAGAAGCCAACTTGGTACTCCTTTCCCCCTGGCAGAAATACGCCCTTCTCCTTAAGTCTCCCTCGCCCCCTTTAACTTCTCTTTCGAATTCGGGGTAGGGGGATGCCACAAACCTAGTAGCCCTAAAGCTTGAACCCTCCCCCTGATGCTAACAACCCGTTGAAGGTTTGGTAGTCTGTTTTTACGACAAAGGGGGGGGGGGTTGATGTTAGGGGGAAGGGCTTACAGTTTTCTCCCCTACTTCTCTGTTATGCTGATGAACAGTGTTTCTAGTTCGAACGGCACGTCATCTTCTAAGCATATACCCGCGGATGGGAGCCGCCACTCTCATCTACTCTTGCCCAGCCGTTGCCCAGTGGCAGAACCGAAACAACAGGTGCAGCATCTCGTACCTGAAGACGCGTGAAAGGGTTCCAGCTTCGCTACACAAGAACCCTCCTTTGACCCTGAGATGCTGCGCCAAGGCTTACTAATTCTGCTGCCTTCCCTCCGCACTGACTTCTTATCACCACTTCCATCCCGAGGCCCCTCCGGCTTTGAACAGATGTTCGTGCCTCAAAGATTTTCGCATCTCCCGTGCCACAGCTCCGGAGCAGCAGAAGTCCAACTCGACCATTCCAGACCCAGCAGAGATGAAAAGGATGACTCCTTAAGGAGGTCTTTTGGCGGTGGTTGCCTTTTGTTTCTACTTTCTGACTTATACTTCTTCCTTGATTGAAGTGTGTGTGTGTGTGTGGTTCGATTTTTTGAGGGGATGAACTTTGGCAAGGCTCCCAGCGTGCCCAGAAAGGGGCGCTCATAGTTCCAGGACATTTTCATGAGCGGGTTCTCGGGTGGATAGTTCCTGCGATCAACTTCCCCCCCCCCCCCCCCCCCCCCCCCCCCCCCCCCCCCCCCAAAGTCACAGAATTCAGCTTCCCAAAAAAGGGCCGAAATGAAAAGCTCCTTAAGTCTCTCAATGCCGAGGGACAGGCTCCACCAGGCACAAGCCAAGACGGTAATGGCGGGCAAGCCTTCGCACAAGGCCGCCACGGCCTTGCAATGATATCGATTCCACGCCGACATCTCGCGATGTTGGGTCTGCCCATGCTGCTGCTCCTGGCAATCGAAAACGTTACTTGTTTGGTAATAAGGTGGGGGACGGCTTCCAACAAAAGCTGCGTGATTCACGGCGTGATCCCTCATTTTCGAACTGGCTTCCCTCACATCATACAAACTCAAAGAGGAGGATGCGTTGATGCCATGTCCTGGCGGTCGAGATACTCGTCGTATGCGAGCAAGATGATCACGCCCTGCGCTCACAAACGGAATGTGAGCTCCACCCTGCCCTCTCAGACCGCCAATGCTCCCGGATGTGCCTCAGAATCCCCAACAAAAACCAACGCCGGACCATCCCAAGACCTCTGGCTTTCCGCTGAGAGTGGCCTGGAAGAGGCCCATAGGCATCCACAGCGTAGCCTGGAAACATCCCCCCAAACCCCAAACAACACCACACAGCGGGCTTCATAGATGGGTTCAGCAAGATTTTCAGCCCTCCCCCCCGGTTCAGCCAGGCCGCCCTGAAGACAACCTGCGATTTAATTTCAACTTCAACTTTGTCTTCAAACTCCACTGGCTCCTTGAGGTACCAAGGCTGACTCCGCAGGGGCAGGCCCCAGGCCCAGTAGAGCTGCGTGGGCTCCGCGTACCATGCGGCGTGGGTGCAGACAAGGCCTCTCCAGGGGCTTCAGGGGGGTGCGGCATGATGTGGGCTCGGCATTCTTTGTGTGAGGGGTTGTACCATGGTGTATCGGGCGTACTGTACTCCAGGGCTTCAGATGAAATGGTGCTACATCTGGCGGCAGTCAACGGATCACAGCTCCAGATGCTTGATTAGGCCGCAGTACATATCAAATCTGCAGCCGCTTCGGGCTTCGGGGCTCTGGGCCTCAAATGGCTCCAAGAAATCATTTACTGTTGGTGCGCCCGCTTTCGCGGCGCTATCTCAAAGGTCCTACGAAGCGTTATACGAAGCGTTCTACCAATGCAGCGTCTCGCCCTTCTCTGCATCCAGCAAAGCACCACTGAGGGCTTCCAGATTTTCAGGGGGCGCTTCTTCCAAAGATGGCTTCCGCAACTCAACGTGATCTGCAGGGGTGTCCACATGAGTCAGAACATAAAGGGGCTTGTCGCCAGGAAGCTTGCAGGCGCCTTGCACGCGCCCGTCAAGGGCAAAGGCAAGCACGCGTTTGTCAACGTCCACCAACATACCAATCACGTTTCCCGGTGTGCAAGCCTTCTCGAACTCTGCGACAGCCTTTGTGCACGCATGAAGCGCGCCCTTGCCGTTGTGTATGGAACCTCCCGAACGGCCAGCGCGGCCGCAATAGTACGTCCAAGCTTCCAGTTCTCTGCCACCATACCTTTGACCTGCCATTTCCGGCGACATTGTGACTCCACACCACTGCTCATCACCGACCTTGTGCAGAACGAACTCGTAGTAGTGCATCCCCGACCGCATGGGCTCTTTGGTCAAGACATTGACGAAGTCAGTACGCAGGTTTGGAGAACAAACAACTGCACCATCGACTTCAATTTGTTCTGAATCCGGATTGCCATCCGAATCCCATGAGCACATCGGTGTCTCATCCTTAACGCAGAGCACTTCGAAGCCCTCTGCTGGTAGGTCAAGTGAAGTTAGTAGCTCGCCATCCTTCACCAGTTTTTGGAGCGCGCCAGGGATGCCAGTGATCTCTTCGATCTTCAACCGAAGCTCGAGGAGATCTTCGGGGACTGGGCTGATTTCGGCCAGGATGCCACCAGCCAGGTTAGACACCACCACGGACATCAACAAAGGACCACAAGATGACACACAATAAATTGAAAACTGCTTGTCAGATTCTGCAAGTGGTGCGCGAGCCAAATGCAGCTGCACCATGCAAACAGCTGTCACTGACGGCCATTCTTTCGACATAACTTGGCAGTCATAGGAGGTCCCGAACAAATGTTCAAGTCAGGCATCGAACTCTTTCAACAATATGCATAGTATGCGTGCCTGAAAGAAAAAGGGGCGCCATCATGGCGTAGATCCTCAAGATGCGTGGCGTCTGGTGATGTGATCTGCGGAGACTCTTGGTGAAGGCTCTGGGTTTCTGAGGTAGCTTTAAATGACATCCACGACAGTCCTTAACTCTTAACTTGGACGTGACGGTGGATTTTGGTAGACTGGGGTCACGCGTCGGCCGTAGGGATCCCACTAGAAAGGAAGAGTTAACATTAGCAAGTCATGAACTCCTTCAAATCAGTCCGTTCACTTGGGCGAAGCACTACCTTATACAAATGCAAGGTCCTTCGCTTCGCCCACCTACATTCTGCTCCGAGGCTCATGTTGTAGTTTGCAGTCATGATGAAATCCACCATGGCCAGCATCTGCGAAAGGAGCGCGGCGCAATGCAGCAGGAGGAAGCTCCTCTGGCGTTGAGTTGATGACGGCCATTTGAGGCTTCCAACTTTTCTAAAGTCTCATGATGCGCCTGTCTCAGATGACCGTCCCAAACAATCTCAAAGAATCTCGCAAGACAACGACGATTCTTACCCAAGATCATTCGCATCGACAGAACCATCACAGACCCTGGTGCACATGCGGCCGCTCCCCAGTCGCCGTTGCAGAGCACGCGTGCTGCGGCCGTCGCCGCATTCTCCCATTGTGCCCGTCTGGGCATGGGTTTGGGGTTGATCGCTTCAAAGCTGGGTTGAAAGTTCGGATGAACAGTTTTTTTTGGTCGAGTTCAAAAAATAAAAGGCCAGCGTCCATGAAAGCAGCGGCTGGGCAAGAAGACTATTGCAAGGAAACCGCCTCCACGTGTTCACAAACAGACTTTAGGAATATGCTTGTGTCCGCAACTGATCAGCTCATTTTCAACCATGATTGAGATACATTGTATACATGCTCAAACCACGTAGGCATGAACCCAAGGGCAGACGTTATCAGCACCGAAGCCGAAGCCTTTATAGCAGAACAAATGCCAAGACGGCCTCATGCAGAGACACTTCCAATGTCCTCTCTGCGAAAGCGACCATGGCCAAACAGTGCGCTTCATCGAGCACGATGCAACGTTCTCTTGCTCTTGTTGCCGCGTCTAACGGTTGTTCATCTAGTTAAGGATGTTTTGCTTGTGTTGACTAATGCCAAAGAATGCATGGTGACAGGGTGCAACCATCGTCTGCTCCCCGCTGTCTTGATATGCAACCGCCCTCACAGACGCAAACACTGATGCATCGCAAATGCTAACCAGAAAGGTGCCACGTACTGATGCCTCCCTTGTCTCAGGCAATAAATCCTAAAGCTGTAAGCCAAAAACCAAGATGAACACTTGGTATGTGACGAGCGGTCAGAGGGTTGAGTTGGAGCTATCATCCGGGCATGCCATGGTTTGTTTTCCGACGCGGCATTGCGTGTCGGCCAAGCTTCGCTACGCTCCAGGCTGCCTTCGGCTGGGCGCGCCTAAGTCATCTGAAGTCTTTGCGTAACATACTCCGGCGATACCGCAACCATCTGCACGGCACGCGAGAGATCGACGCAAGCTCTTGTGCTGCCATGCTGCTTGGCGGGCCGGGCGCTTCTTTGGCTGCCCTGAAGCCAGCGACTGGTAGCTGCCCCGGGGTGGCAAAGGCCTGTCACGGCTACATCTTCGATGTGCAACAATACATGCCCAAGTGGGTGTTGCCTGACGGGCATTGAAGAGCGTCTAGCTGCGTTGAGGGTGAAAGACAAGTTGCAGAGGACAGGACGAGTTGTGACGAGGTTGAGGATCTCGTCAATTAACCCAAAGGTTACCTAACAGTGCTCCGTTTCAGCTATCCCTGTCGAAGCAGACCAATGGAGCAAGAACCCATGGCCCTCGGCATCAGACGCTTCAACCATCTATGACGCTAGACATCTCTGGACACACCATGTGATCCTAAACCCCAAAAAACCCTAAGCTTCAAACCCCAAAAAACCCCAAACCCAGGTTTGATGGCACAAGTCACAGACCGCACGTGGTCGGCCGGCGGCCTCTCCCCGACGATGCTGCTCTGCCAGTTTCTCCGCGCGTCGCGCGCGGATCTTCTTTGAAGCATCTGGAGGTAGATCCTAGGAGCTGGGTGTTCGGAACATTTCGGATTCACACACATAAACCCTAAGTTGACAGCAACCATTCTTAGATGGTGGCACCTGGATTTCCGGGTGAAGACTGGTGGTCGCCAAGAGACTGCGGCGCTGGGCACCCCTGGCCGCATCTTCCCATAGATGTCTGCCCGCACGTCCTGCCATGAAAAAACATGCATATTCCCTTGAATACGGTAACATCTGGTAGTAGCCTTGCAATTGAGCCCTTTGACCTTTTTGGTCTGACATACAGCACGCAGCACTCCTCTCGAGTCGGCCGGCCCTCCTTTCTCACCTGGCCCAACATTAATAAAGGCTTGGGATGTGTCGTGCTATGCCCACACAGGGGAAGCTCATGAAAGCTCCGACTAGCGTGGCACAGTAGGCTCCGATGCTCCAACTCCAGCATACTCCAGCCATCTCACTGCTCCTGCGAGGCTCGGCGCGCCTTCTTCTGAGGCTTTGGGAGCGCCTCGTCCTCGCGGAAGAAGCTGAGAAGCTGCCGCCAGAAGGGCAGCGGCGCGAGCAGCACCACGAAGGAGAAAACGTACTTCCTTTGCTCAAAAGGGGAAGAAGCTGCTCAAGGACCCAAGGGGAGAACCCTAGACCTTCGACACGCACTGAAATTCCTAACAGCTCAAGACATCGGGAACATCGGGCATGCTTTATCGCAAGGCTGCAGTTCAGTCCAGGTGTCCAGTTTCTGCGGCGTTCGATCCAAGCATTCCGCAGCAGCGCGAGATCCTCTTCAGGGTTGCATTCTGTGTCCGGGGTCGCTGAGTGGCAAGCAGGAATCTCGGGTCACAGTCGGTCCAGGCCCAGCATGAAGAAGCCCATGACGATGGCGTCCCGCAGGCGCGAGTGCCATGATTGGCTTTCCCTTGGCATCCGAGGCCTCGCGAAAGGTACTGTAGAGGCAGAATTCCGAGGCACCACGTAGAGTTCATGAAGGCTGCAAGTTGGGCTTACAAGGATGCAGCAATTCCGAGTGAATGAAATGAGGTATCTCTCCAGGAACGCAAACGTCATGTCGGAAACCGATGTCAAACCCCAAGATACGAATATGTGTTTCAAGTAGTTTCACAACATGCATCCCGGAATGTCAGATGACTCGAAACATATGAACTGAAGCCCCCGGATTCGTAGATGGATTCTTCATACATTGGTTGTCCTTGGGTACTTGCGCCTTCCATACCGGCCGAAAATCACGATGCGCAGCAGCGTCAAGCTGGCCATCGCGAAAAGGTCCTCCCGCCACGAGTTCAGGCTTTGTGGTGACTGGCCGTGCCTACAATCACAAGGGTCGTGGCCCACTGAGCCTTTTCCAAGGCACCCCAAGAAACCGAGTAAGGGACTACGGGATAAAAGCCATCGAAACGTGTGAAGGTTTTTCTCTTACCAGGAGTCGGGCAAGGGGGGGGGTGTCCGTAAGCAGTCCACCCCCGAGCTTGTGGTCGTCTGGTCTCAACAACGCCAGGAAGCAGGCAAAATTCATCCTTGGATTGCTCAAAAACAAGGTAGTCCAAGCAAGGCATTCAGGCATTCTGAGAGATTTGCAACATAACATGTGCAAATAGCTACATGTGCTGAAAGTTAACTCATAAAAGGGTCCAGGGCTGGAGGAAGTATGCCAGCAGTACCAGCAGCGGTGGTACTCGATAGTCGCAGGAAGGTGTGGGCCATCGGATCACAGAGGCACAGTGGAGAACTGCGCCCAGGCCCGACTGCCTTGGGAATATTTATTCTGATTTCCAAGAAGGAGGGCCTTTACCCTGTTTGCCGATTTACTAAATTGGGGTTATATAAGGGGGTCCCCCATTTTGGGAAAATACACTCATCTTTGCTTCGCACGACTTCTGAGTATGTTTACATATGTCTGACTCTTACAGGCCTCCGACAACTCCAGCCTCTGCTCCAAAGAGACTGACAAAACTAATGCGCCCACATACTGCTGCGTGTAACCCACCGACTGCGGGTGTCTCCTGGAAGGAACTTACGGTTTGTAGGGTGTAGGTTTTCGGTTTTAGGGTTTAGGACCTGAAACTCTAAATCTTTGCTTGAGGCGCAGCAGCGCTAGCCTGCGAAGGACGGCAACGGCGTCATCGTCGGGCGCCCTGGCATTGATTCAGGCATCGTAAAAGCAGCTATCCCTCTATCTATCTATCTATCTATCTATATATATATATATACAGATATTCACAGCTGCATGTGTTTACATATATGGGGTTTTGCATAAAGATATGTACATACATACATATCTGTATATCTGCATGATATATATATATATATATGATATATATTTATTTGTGGTATATCCGCCGACCCCTAGGGGGGCGGCGTCAGTGAAGACCCATTGCCCCTACCACCTACTCCACCCCATCCAAAGCTCGACCGGCCCCCAGTGCATGCCCGCCCGCTTGCCCTACCCCCACCACCCACGCACCCCGCCCCCCGCTCCTTCCCTTGCCCAAGCCCCCCACGCACCCCGCCATGCTTCTCATGGACCCATGGCTCCTCCCAGTGCATGCCCGCCCGCTTGCCCTACCCCCACCACCCACGCACCCCGCCCCCCGCCCATCCGCCCTTCCCGCTCCGCATACTCCTTCCCTTGCCCAAGCCCCCCACGCACCCCGCCATGCTTCTCATGGACCCATGGCTCCTGGTCCCATTCTTCATCCCAAGCTCGACCGGCCCCCAGTGCAGCCCGCTTGCCCTACCCCCACCACCCACGCACCCCGCCCCCCGTCCATCCGCCCTTCCCGCTCCGCATACTCCCCCCCTTGCCAGGG